ACAGCTCACATTCTAGCCTTACAAATTAAGCTGCCTGTCCTCTAAAGGGAGCTCTGTCACCTGCAGTGTTTCCTCACTGCCAGCCCCTTCAGCCAGTGACAAACAGCCGTGTCTCCTGTAACAGGGCATCCAGCTAAGCAGCACAACTGCTCCTGCAAGGGCCACGTGAAACAGGTGACAATCATCTGTTTGCTCCCATGGTCTCATACTACATCGTACACCAGCAAACAGCAGAAACAAATTTGGTTAGTTAGGGTGTGTTTGGGAATAGTCCTGGATCAAATTAGCCTTTTCCTGCACTGTCTGAGCATATGCTGCTCTTGTAAAGCACGCAGTACTTAGGAATCCTTTGCAGCATAGACATTATTGGTATGCAAATGAGAAAAGCCACCATTAGAAAGGTATTTTTGAAATATTTTTCTTACACTAGACACGCACAAACTTTAGTAGATTGTTGAATACTGATCTAATTGTACTAGTCTGAAGGACTTGAAATTAAAGCCTGGGCTGCAACTAAGAGTAAGAATGAAAAAAAAAATAGAAACAGAGAAAAAGCACACCTAAAATACACCAGGCAAGCCACCATGCTCTATGTACTTGAACTCTGCCTGCTTTTTATTCCATTAGAGCCACTGCTGTACTTAAAGGTTTAACACTAGCACTCAGTGGTGCACAGCTGCTTTTGAAAAAAAGAGCTAGACAGAAGGCAAGGAAGATCTATAATTCATAACCACTGTCCATGAAGGATGACACCTGAAAAAACTGCTATCAAAACAATTTATTTCATATGAGCTGATGGATTATCTTTTGTCACCTGTGCAAGATAACCAGTATCAAGTGGTCGAGACTTTGGCTTTCTGCAATGTGTAACCATTCTAAGTGATCTCAAATGCTTGATTTGACCAAACATGCCATCCTTAGCCTGTTTTTCCATCATGTATTCAGAATTAATCTCAAAAACCAGAAGACTACATATGATTGTTTTCAGTGTCATAAAGAGGTAACAAGAACACTTGGACTGAAAATTTTAAGTCATATTTTCAATCTCCTTGCCCCTCTGTATTTAAATTTCTGTACATAAGCCTCCAAACATTTCTCCACATCAATGTAGGCATTAAATCCTTACGGGAAAATTTGCTTCCTACTCTCCACAGAACTCAGCTGCTTTGTCTGCAAGCCCAACAGCAGCACTTTTAATCAGCAATGGAATGCAAACAATAGCTGCAGAAGCAATGGCATGCAAAGCACGCCAGTATTAGCTGTTTCTTCTTTCCTTCTTTATTCATCATATTAATGCTCAGTTCAGGTTTTATTTTGTATTCAGTATTTTTACATTAGCCACTTGTAGAACATGAAGTGAACTTCATTGCTTTCCTTTATTCCAGACAACAGATGAAGCAAATCTTTACAAACTGTGTTTCTTGCTGCAATTACTTTAGAAGCAAGCCTAGGACGTGGTAAAGTTGTCAACACCTTCTAAAACGAGCTCCATAAGCAGGGGAGGTTTGTTTGGAGACTTTTTCATTGAGCTACTTGTGCACCATAGCTAAACCAAATAAATTGACACCATATACATATACCACTTTAGATATTAAATCTAGAAACCAAGTGTCCTTCTAGGATTAAAATACTAAAAGTAATTAATAATTTTATTTTTAAAATTTGCAGTCAAGATTTGATTTAAATAATATTCCACAACTCCATTAGCTAGTAGCTGTGATAAAGTGAAAGGGTGGCCTTATTCATATCTTTGTTTAAAGTGGTCAGCATCCAAGGCACGTAAGTATTATGAAAGGCAGAAGGTCTTCCCACTGCAAAACAAAGCTCAAGGCCAGGCTGGATGGGGCTTGAAGCCACCTGGTCTATTGGAAGGTGTCCATGTCCCTGTGAGGGAGGCCAGACCTAGATGATATTCAAGGTCACTTGCAACCCAAACTTTTCCATGGATCTATCAAAGTTCACAAAAATGGAAAAACTCCTTATTTTAGAAGGATATTTATGTGGGCACATGCAGGAACCTGCCATTCTACAGTTAAGAACTGACATAAACTCAATTATATGACATCAGGTAATTAATCCTCAGTTAACCATCATTTGTAAAGTGCTTCAACCTAACCTGTTTAACAAATACCAGGACACAATATCCAAAACACCAACGTGCTCTCAAATGCCTGAAAAGCCACTGAGCATGCAGGGCAGAGATGGAATTCTTCTACTTCATCATCCTCCTGAACTCCTCTAGCAGCCAATATGCACAGCACTCGCTGATGGCAAAGCAAATTGGTATGTGCTGTGAATATTTCCATACAAACAGACATACAGCTGACTGGTGCATATATATGTTTATTTTAGTGCAAATACCTCACTTCAGAACAAATAAACACTCTCCTGAGAAGCAACTCTCTCATAATCACCTTCTCCTGACTGCAGGGGAGGAGGAGCAGCAAGGCCGGGGAACGCTTTTCAGGAGGTCCATCCCTGCCCATCATGGCAGCAAGACATGTTTTAAGTCAAAAAAACTCCAAAAAGTTCCCCAAAGACCTAAACCCAGCACTGCCTCAGTCCCGGGCACCCCATATCATCCTGAAAACACAGAGATGTTCCCAGAGAGCTTCACCTCACCCCCCACTTCAGTGGGGCAGAGCACCCGAGTTCCACCCTTGAGCTCCTGCCATTACCCCCAAGTTCCTTGCTTCCCTTCATCCTTAAATTGACAGCAATAAGCCCCAAATGTCTTAATCTGAAGCTCACAGAGGTGTCCCTGACACTCCTAGACAAGGAGACACCCCGGGTCCCACAGCACCCCAAGCTTGAATTTCACAAAGGGGTCGCTAAACTCCCTAAACACCACAGCACCCCAAGCTCACTGAGGGGCCCTCAGCCATCCCCCCATCAAATTCAAACCATCCCAAGACCAGAGGGGTCACCAAACCTCCCCGCAAACTCACACAGCAGCCCCTGCACTCCAGGGTCACAGAAAGGCCCCCAGACCCTCCCCCAACCCGAAGCTCCCAAAAGGAGCCCACAGCTCACCCCCATAGCATCCCAAGCTCCCACAGCGGTCCCCGAGCCCTCTAACCTCACAGAGAGGTCCCGACACAGCCCCTCCCCACACTCCCTCAAGCGCTTACAGAGCTCGAACTTCCCCGAGCCCGTCTCTCCCCCTCCTTCACAGAGGGCTCACCGAGATTGCAGCACCCAATCTCACAAAAGAAAGCCTAAACATTTCGCCCCAGCCTCACACCGCCTTACAGCGGGGTCCCCAAGCCCCCCGTACCTGCCGGCAGGTCCCGGGACGAGCCCTCAGGGCGCTCAGCTGAGACAACACGCACCACCAACCGCAGTCCCTCCGCCGCCGCCTCACGATTTCAAACCCAACGGAAACCCCGGCCCGCCAATGAGGGAGCCGCGTTCGGGGCGCGCCCGCCAATCAGAAGAGCGCCCTGCGGGAGGGGGCGGGGACAGCGCCACGCGTGACCATTGCGTCCCCCCAGAGCTCGCCCCCGCGCGGCGCAGAGCGGGCGGTGCAGGCGTGGCCCCGCCCGGGACAAACTCTGTTGGCTGCTCAATGTCGCCGTGTCCCCACGGGGCAGTCAGGTCCCCACGGCTGCTCAGTGTCCCCGTGTCCCCACGGGGCAGTCAGGTCCCCACGGCTGCTCAATGTCCCCGTGTCCCCACGGGGCAGTCAGGTCCCCACGGCTGCTCAGTGTCCCCCTGTCCCCACGGGGCAGTCAGGTCCCCACGGCTGCTCAATGTCGCCGTGTCCCCACGGGGCAGTCAGGTCCCCACGGCTGCTCAATGTCGCCGTGTCCCCACGTACCGCCCCGGCAGCGCAGGCTGCCCTATCCCTGGCAGCGTTCAGGGCCAGCATGGATGGGGCTCTGAGCAACCTGCGCTAGTGGAAGGTGTCCCTGCCCAAGACGGGGGGGTTGGAATGAGATGAGTTTTAAGGTTCCTTCCAGCCCAAACGTTTCTATGATTCTACAGTCTCAGCTGTTCTGCTTCAACAGGCTCTTGCATGAAATCACAGAAAGAAAACTTGCTGCTTCAACAAACTGCTTTTTATTACTGGACTTCCCAGTCTATTGAGCACATTAAAACAGTCCTTACTGTTGAGTCACCAGACAGCAACAACGAAGTGATTGTTAAAACAATAAAGTTGTTAACAAGGATGTCTTTTAGACTGAAGTAAGATGCACAGAATCCAAGCATGATGCATCCTCAAGAGCCACTAAACCACCATGAATTCCCGATCTCCATCTCAGCAGCAACATATCAGCCATCTGCCAGCGTTAGGATCTCACACTCCATGGGTGGCATTTACTATTGACCTGGTTTCCCATCATTAGTAGCATATAACAATACATGCTGTTTTCTATGCTGTGCTTTTCCAGTTATACAATCTCCCCTTTTTCTAAAACAGATAAATATGGAAGTTTGTGGTTATAAGAGGGTGCATGCAGGGGTTTTCCTACATTCTGTAAAAAACAGCAAATCTTGTGGCTATTAGCTATTGTTTGTACTTCAGTAGTAACAAGATATTCTGTCAGGCCTCTCCCTTTACTGTGTTTGGGGGTGTACGAAGATACCTTGAAACACACTTCCCTTTAGGGCATTTTAAGATGCTACATCCCTGTCTTATTAGAAAATATTAGAAAACATAAAATACACAAGGAAAAGCAAAGAGAAGCTTTTCCCGGCTCTTAAACACAACAGGCCATTTCCCTGCTCCAGAAACACGCTGCCCTCATCCAGCAGAGCTCTTTTAGATTCATAAAGAAGGAATCGGTTCCTTCTGCCAGGCCTGTGGAGCATGACCTGAAGCGCGGACAATGCCTGGGGCCAGGGCAGGGGCTGCGCTGGGCCGCGCCGGGCGGGCGCGGGGCGCGGGCGGGGTCCGCCTCCGGCTGGAACGGGGACGTGGCTCGGGACTCGCGGCCGGGCAGGCGCGGAGAGGCGGGAGGAGATGGACGGAGGGGCGGGGACCATCCGTGCGAGGGGAGGCGGCTCCAGCCCCGCGGCCGCGCCAACGCCGGTGCCGCGCATCCGGGGGCGCGGCGGGAACTGCCGCTGGAGCGGGGGGAACTGCCGCTGGAGCATCCGGGGCTGCCGGGGAACTGCCGCTGGAGCGGCGGGAAGCACCGCTCCCCGCTGGAGCATCCGGGGCTGCGGCGGCAACTACCGCTCCCGGGGACCCCGGCGCCCCACGGGGCGCAGCATGGAGAGCCCCGCGGTGACCTTCACGCTGGCCTACCTGGTGTTCGCCGTGTGCTTCGTGTTCCCGCCCGACGAGGTGCGCTCGGCGGGGCTGACGGTGCAGAGCTTGCTGTCCGCCTGGCTGGGCAGCGAGGACGCGGCCTTCGTGCAGTACCACCTGCGGCGCAGCACCGGCACGCTGCTGGCGCACTCCCTGCTGCCCCTCGGTGAGTAGCGCCCCGGCTTCCTTGGAGCGAGCGCCCCGAGCTTTGTAACCAGCGGGCTGCACCGCAGCACATGCACTCACAAAGGAATTGAGTACACGCTGGGGAATGAGGGGCTGCAGAGCAGTGCCAGGGAAAGGGACCTGGGGCTCCTGGGCTGTGGAAAGTTGAGCCTGAGCCAGCAGTGCCCTGGCAGCCAGGAGGGACATCCCTGTCCTGGGGACAGCAGGGACAGCACGGCCAGCCGGGCAAGGGAGGGATTGTCCCGCTCTGCTCGGGGCTGGGGCGGCCTCACCTCCAGTGCTGGGGCAGCTCTGGGTGCCACAATGTAAGAAAAACATTAAACTATCAGAGAGTGCCCAAAGGAGGCCACAGGGATGGTGAAGGGCCTTGAGGGGAAGCGTGTGAGGAGAGGCTGAGGGCACTTGGTCTGTTCAGGCCGGAGGGGACAGAGAGGAGACCTCAGTGCAGATACAAATTCCACGTGAGGGGAAGAGGAGGGACAGACACTGATCTCTGCTCTCTGGTGACAGTGACAAAACCCCAGGAATGGCCTGAAGTTGTGTCAGGGGAGGTTTAGGTTGGATATCAGGAAAAGGGAAAAGGTTCTTCCCCCAGAGGGTGGCTGGGCACTGAACAGGCTCCCCAGGGCAGTGCTCACAGCAGCAGCCTGGCAGAGCTCCAGGAGTGTTTGGACAATGCTCTGGGGCACAGGCTGTGACTCCTGGGGTGTCCTGTGCAGGGCTAAGTGTTGGACTTGATGATCCTTGTGAGTCCCTTCCAGTGCATCATCTTCTGCAATTCTGTGATTTAACCAAGGAATGCAAATCGGCTTCCTTTAGCCATATAATTCTCCTAAAACTAAGTGGCTTCTCACAGGTAATTTTATTCAACAACAAATTCAGATCACTTTCCTTTAGGTATATAATTTTGATAAAAATTATTGATGCCTAAGAATTGACCTCAGCTTGCTTGATACAACAGGCTTGAATTTGAAGTCATCCAGAAATACAATGCCTCTGTTGGAGTTGAGCTCACTGGTTAGATAACCATGTGATTCAGGGGTATCTGCTTTTGCAGGTACTTAATTGTTTTCTGAAAGTAAGTTTTTTTTCCCTTGCAGGTTATTACCTTGGTATGTGCTTTGCTGCACCTGAAAAACATCTTTGTTTTTTCTACCTGGCTTCAAAAGAGTGGAAAACTTTCTTCTTCTTCGCCGTTCTCCTCCCAGCAATCACCAGTGCCCTGGCATATTACTGGTCACGGAAAGGTTGGAATAATCATCCGCTAGCCCGGACACTCGCTGTTCACGCCCTCCCACAGTCAGGCTGGAGGGCAGTAGCTTCTTCCATCAACACAGAATTTAGGAGAATCGACAAATTCGCTACCGGAGCGCCAGGAGCGAGGGTGATCGTGACGGACACGTGGGTGATTAAAGTGACCACCTACTGTTTACATGTTGCCCAGCAGCAGGACATTCACTTGACAGTGACAGACTCCAGACAGCACGAGCTCACCCCAGACTCCAACGTGCCTGTGCAATTCCTCACCATCCGCGTTGCCAGCGTTAATCCCTACATCAAGGCATTCGATATCCGGTAAAACAACTGCTAAACCTGTTATGTGTGTGCTGTTTGATGGTGCTGAGGGAGCGTTTCGTCACCAATCTGGAGCCACCCTGGTCTCATCCCTTCCTATCTGGTCCCTGCCTGGTGTTCGGGGCTGCTGTATGTGCAGTTCTGCCACGCAGTACAGGGAAGGTTGTTTAGAAAGCTTCATGCATGTGCAACACTGCATACACAACAGATAAACAAAGGGATTGGCCTCTTTGATCCATTCTTAGGGAGAGGATTGTGCTGGATGCAGAAAGAAGTAACTGGATAAAATTAGGTGAGAGATGGAGAACAGGAATGAAAGGTAGAATTTTTGGTCTTGTAAATTTTGGGTGAGGAGAAATAGCTATTTGTCTAAAACTGCCTGTTGGTCATCCATGGCTTTGGATTTTTCCTCGTGCTTAAGGCTCACAATTTCATCACTGCTCAGAAGAGCAGTAGCTCTCACTGAGCAACTGCAAGCCAACTGCCCCTAAAACAAGGAAGAAATTTTGGTCCCTTTCTGACTTATGTGTTCTCATAGCAGTACATCATAACAATTGTGAACTGTTAGGGCTTGTTTTGCAAGGGCCCATGCTGTTTATCTCATTGGTCTCTGTGTAACTAGGCTAAAGTACAAGTTCAGCAGAAACTTCTGAGTAGAAGGGTGCTAAAGACTTTGTTGTTGTGTTGTTAAAAGCCATCTTAGTGGTCCTAAAATTCTATTTGAAAAGGTATCTTTTTGCTGTAAATTTGTATGTCAGGAGCATTTATTAGGTAATTAAAAGCATGCAGATCACCAGACTTGTAGGTGTGTGAGTGGGGCAAGCACGAGGAAGGCAAAGAGGTGATTAGGGTAGAGATCCAGGTGAACAGAACTCAGAACAAGAGGTTGGTTAAGGTAAGCATGACAATGCTAAGAAGAGAGACTTTTATAGACCTGTGACAGTAATGACCAAATTAGTATTAAGCAACTAATGATTTTCTTCTGCAAGCACTTCAGTGCCAGAGTACACCCCAGCTGAGAAAAACATTACTTGTTTGACAATTCCTTTTATGGAAGAAAAGTCCTAAGCCCAAACTGTATTTTGTGACTAAACAGAATAGCATCAAGAACAGTGTTTAAAAGCTGTTCTAATAAGGTGTCAGTGATAGTAAATCTCTGCTAGAATGTAGCAGAATCATACAGGGTCATTGTATATATCCAGAATCAGGATCAAATACAGTGAAATGTTTCTGGAAGAAAAATGCTTTTGTGCAGGTGGGCCACATTTCTGTGCATGTTCAGTGTAAACTGTTCCTCTGGTTATAAATGTCTCTGATTTGCATGGACAGCATCTGTTAAATTACATTATCCTGTAGCAGTAAAAACAATGGAGACCACTGAGAGCTAGAGCTAAGCCAGCCTTGCATTGTGCTCGGCTCTAGGAACTCAGAGAGTGGTGGGAAAATGAGGGCAGGCTGCTAGGGACTTCTCCATGAAAGCTGTTTAATGAGTGGAAGCATTGAGCTGGAGAGCTTTGACACTACAGTTCAGAACTCTTAAAAAGGGATGACAGCAGGGATATGTTACTGTAGGATCTGTGTGAGGTCTCAGGTGCCACTTGAGTGCTGTGGACATCACTTAAATTTAATTTACAGAAGCAGCTGGTGTTCAACACGCTGCAGCCTTAAATCAGCAGTGGTTTGTGACCTTTGTGAATTTTCTATTTATGATACATTTAGATTGTATCATAAAACCACAGAACCTGATAGATTGACATTCCTCTGCTACTTGTGTAGTACTATATCACCTTGTGATGCTTGCTGCATGATATAACTAATTTCTCCTAACTCAATTCCTGAGGAGTTTATAATTGAAAATTTAGATATTGTCTAAGTAAATAGGCATTAAAAAGGTGACAGAAATGGTGCCAACAGGACTTTGCAGTTAATGCATGATTCATATACCTATATTGCTTTTGTTCATGTTGACTACTTCAAAAGCCTTTATTTTTGTATGATGTTTTAGCTGATCTCTGACATACCCTGCTGGCAATCTTACACAGATATGAATGAGGACAGCATGTTCTGTTGACCAAGTTGTGCCAAAACCAATAACTAAACAGAAGAAGAAAACAAGAAAACACAATTCTGTGTATTTATTCTGACTAATAAGTACCAGATTTTCTGTGGATTCGCTTCAGATGTTAACCTCTGCAAGGTACTATCAAGGTATTTGGGTGGATAATCGTGGTAACATTTTGCTCCATGTTCTCTTCTTCAGGTTGAACTCTACAGAGTATGGGGAGCTCCGGGAGAAGCTCCGTGCTCCTATCAGCAATGCAGCTAATGTTGTGATCCATCAAAGCCTTAGTGATTTATTTTTAGAAACCTTTACATCTCTGGTGGAAATCAACCAGACATACCATGTTCCAAGCACTCAGGTGAGACTTTCTATCCATGTGAGCCTGTAACAATTATACTTTCAATATAGGTGAGCCTGTGATTACTGTGTAAATGATAAATGTTTACCTAGGGCTATTTCAGGTGAATTATTAAGAGAATTCATGTTTGTGAGGGTAACAAAAAGGTTTTATTAAAAATATGGATTAAATGACAAATTATGATTAAATTATAATTGTCATGTGATTACTGCTTAATAATCCTCAATAATTAAGCAGTGTTCAGTCAGTAATTAAATGGTAATTGAACAGCAGTTAAACACCCTACCACTCTCTAAACTTCTAATAATTCAGCTAGCTTGCATACAATATGTTTTAGATCTAATATAAACTGATACTTACCTTTGTAGGTAACAGATACCAAGTAAGGGATCTCTTGATCCCTTGAGAGGTCTCCTGCCTACCTGAGGCTGCCCTACAGGAGAGCTCCATGGGCTTGGGGGCTGCAGTCACTTACGTAGAGTGTGACTGGTGGTTAAAGTGCCCCGTGGTGTGGGTGTACAGCTGCAGGACTTACAGTTTCATCTCACTGGCCCCTGATAAGACATGGCCTAGATTCCTTAACTCCCTGAGAAGATACAGCCAAGCACAATTTCTTCGGGTGTGCACAGCCAAGGCTGGCTCCTGGTCAGTGATGCCAGGAGCCCAAGTGCTCTTTGCTCAGTCAGGGTGATGCTTCCTTCGCAAATGCTCACCTGCTGTGTCAGTAAACTTGTCATAAACCTGAACTCTGGCTGCTGCTTCTGTTCCTGCTACAGGGAACAAACTGTATTGTGAGCATTACAGTTTTGAGACATGAGAAACAACATAGTGAAATAAAGTCCCCTGTAATAATTGCTACTAAAATGTTACATGAACACATTTAGAAATGATGACCTTGTACTTGCAGAAGGTTTATGGGGAGCCAGAGCCACAGCTGCTGTTGTTATTCTTTAGGCTTTAGTTTGCTCCAATACAGCTTGCTTTTCTAGACAGCCAGGTTCTGCTGGATCTTCTGCTGAAATAAACTAATGATTCTTAATTGGGGTTTGCTTTAGTTATAATTATTATGGCTGTTATTACATGATGTTAATTATAACAGCACAGAGTCCTACTTCCAGTAATGCTCACAGAGACCTGGTCATTATTATACTTGTGCAGCAGTTGGAAGTGTGACTGGAGCACTGTCCAGTGTACCAGAGGGAACCAGTTAAACCAGTACTGGTGACCCTGCAGGGACTCTGTGTCCACTGCTTCAGCTAATGGAGTGAGGGACTGGTATCTTTGGTAGTGTTGTGCAGTTTATATGGTTTATGAACTAGCTAAAATAAAACTGAATCAGGTGTGTCTGCACATTATGCTGTGTGTGATTGCACTGCCAGCAAAAAGAGATGATCACAGTAAGCAGAAGATATTAAAGCTGCTTTCTTGGAGACCATTTAATTTGTGACACATTTAAGTGTCAGCTCAGCTACTGAGCTTGGATTTGACATTGGGTGATAAATTACATCACAGATGATGATAAGGACGTTAAAAATACAACATTGAATTTTTCCCTATTCTGAAGCTCCATTAATATGTTGAAAAAGTTAGTTAATCTTTCTATGCTAGATTTTTTTCTGCTTAAAAGCTGAGATAAGACCTAATTTCACAAGTTAAATGTGAGTAGCTTGTGTTCATGTGGATCTGCTCCACAGCCCAGCTGATAGTGCAGCTGAGCAGACACTTGAGCTGACAAGGGAAGAGCCACTGCAGATGGGAACTAGAGACCACATAGAGAGCTGGTTTTTGTTCCACCAGGAGCATTTTGAACAGTTTCAGGTCTCTGTGCTTATTCAGTGTGCTGTCTTTTGAGCTTTGTTGAGTTCTTGGACAGCTGGAAGACATGTGGGAAATGCTAATTATTGTTTATTAACTGTAAAACACTTCATAGCAAGATGTTGTCCCCATATGCAACTGCAAGTTCATGTGGCATAATTAATTGTGGGCAAAATCAGTTACTCCAGTTTTATCCAAAAAAATTAAGTAAATTTCTGGACCTTCAGGTTGAGTCCTTGTGTTCAGTACAGCCCTGGTTTCCTCATTTATGTCTCTTACTTAGAAAGATGGAAGATAGGAACAACCATTTGCTGTTTTAAGTGTTTGCTTGGTTTGTTTTCCTTACTTTATACTGGTACATTTTTTGAAAAATAGTTCAAATGACAAAGCTGGCTGCTTGTTAACCTTGCTGTGGCTGCTGGAAGCTCTTCAGAGAATGAAAGAACATTTATTTGTCAGTCATTTTTGTTTAATTGTTAGTCTTATGCAGCAGTTCTGGGTTTTCTGTTCAGAGAAAAGCTTTGCTGTCATTTGTTAGAGAGTGTTCTAGTAAAACCATTTGATGGTTTTGAAACCCCACTTCTGGTGAGGCAGTGGGGTGAGGCAGTTCTGCCTTGATTATTCTGCCACAGATGATTTTCTAAAAGCCTTTGAAAAAGCAGTAACAGGAACGGTTCTGTGCAGTTCACAACTTTGATGGTTTTTCTCCTCAGGAGCTGGAGCCATGCATAGGGTGCATGCAGACTATTGCCAACATCAAGCTCATCAAGAACTGCCAGGAGCCCAACGAGGGGGAATGCCAGCAGTGCTACTGCCGGCCCATGTGGTGCCTCACCTGCATGGGCAAGTGGTTTGCCAGCAGACAGGACCAGCAGCACCCAGAGACCTGGCTGTCGAGCCAAGTGCCTTGCCCGACTTGCCGAGCCAAATTTTGCATTCTAGATGTTTGCCTAATACGATGAGTAGTAACTTGGGTATGTTTTAACTTTTTTAATTTGACTGTGTTTCATAGTGGGTTTGGTTTAAGGCCTGCTAGATCTGTTTCTGAGACTTCATGTTCTACCAGGGTACAAACTCTAAAGGTTTATTTTACAGTGTTGAAAACAGATGTAAATCTTTTCAGTTCCTTTCCACTTTTACCTCATCTGTGGATTTTACTCACCTGATGTCAGCTTCTGGACTTTAATTTCGTTTAAACCCCTATTTTCCTTTCTGACATTTTGGATGGAATAAGATTATCCTTCTATATTTGCAGTACTGTTGTTTTTTCAGGTTTTAACGTAGGTTAAATTCTTTATATTTTTAAATTTAACTTGGGTTTTGATTCTTTAATAAAGGGCTAACTGAGAAAATTGCTTTTGTTAGACTTCATTGATACTTTTGTTATTCTTTAATCCAGTTGTAAAGTTATTAATCTTTGCAGTTGTTTTTCAAACAAGTGCACCAGTTGTGTTCCTTCAGCTCGAAGGAGCTACTTCCACTACATCTACCACAAAGGGTAGCAGTAGGCTAAGAAATGTAATCCCTGAAGATTTACAAGTCCTATACGGACCTTTAATTCCATTAATTTGCCTCTAGCATGCTTCTTGATGGATGTCTTTATTTCAAGCAACAGAAGGATTTGTCCACCCATTTACCTACACTGCTAATACATGGTTAAAATCTGTTGGTTTCCAGGAGCTACATTGCTTAGGGTTTCAATGTTCTTTAGACTTTTTTTACATACATTTGAATGGAGTGCAGCAAACATCTGAGTTTTACTTTTGAAATTAAAATCACAGGTGGGTCAAATAGAGAAAGTAATACTTTAAAGCATTGGTCTACAAGAATAAAAGCTCTTAATACCTCCCACCTGAATAATCACAAGGATCTTACCCGTAAATCATGGGCAGAGGTGGCATGCCAAGGATTACATGACAATCTCTTGATTACCATGACAGGCAACTGGTTTGAGCAGGAACAGGTGGCCGGATGTAGAAATGGTACAAGTATTGGAAGCACAACTGTGAAACATTTTATGAGTCTCAGCTGAGCTACAGGTGGTGAATGCACCTACCTTGCACTTGCAACCAGCCAGGAAATGGTTACAAATGTGGTTGCAAGCAGGAATTCATAGAGAGGTAAGGAATTGAAGACAGATCTGAAAAGTAACATTTAATTGTTGGTACTGGATTTTAACTTTGAAATTTTTAAATAATATTCATTTGTAAAAATCCAGACTGGTTGAGTTTAAGAACATTTATTGCTTCAGCATATCTCAGTTGCTTTATATACAACATCTACTATGCAATTAAGTAAACTGCCTGTTAATACCAGTGGCTTCTCTGTTTTCCATTACCTGCTGTTTTGGAATGTATGGATGTACAGAGTGAAAATTTGACACTGAGACAGGTTGTGTGGATTAATCTCTCTTTCCCAAAGAGATTTCAGTGGCATGTCACTCTTCATCTGAATAGAATTAAATGGAGTTCTGGAGTTTCAGACAGATTTGTTGGTAAGTCTGAAAACTAATAAAATAATCTAGGACTCAATTAGCAATTGAATTTAAAATATTTCCTTTGTACTTCTGTGGGAAATTTATTTCCAGATTTAAAATGGTCTCTGCAGGATTTTTTGATCTTTGGAAGGGTCTTGCAGGGCCGGGTGGTGTTGTCTGACATGCGCCAATCACTACACAGCAGCCTTCACAAATAAGCATTTTGTAACATTTGCTTCTGAAAAGTTTACATAATGTGGCACCAATGCAAAGCATGTGGCCCTGGAAATAGATGCAGAAGAGAGGGTAGGATTTTGGAGCTGTGGTTTTGCTACCGCCAGTCATTCAGATTTTACAGCACTTTGCCTGTTCAGAATAAAAATATTAATTGTAAAGAATGTGAGGCTAAAATCATAAAGGCCTTGAGAATCTTAGATGCAGGTAGTTGCACATGGTGTTACAGACTAAAGCAAGGTCAGTTGCCAATAGTATCTCATGTAATAAAAGCTTTAAATTCCCAGTTGCTACTGCAGTGGAATCTACTCTGAGTTGACTGGAAGTTTTCACTTCAGTGGAACTTTGCTCTTTTTCATCTTACCTCTTTTGTCAATATAAAAGTACAACAGAGTAACAGTCATAAATATTTTGTACCCTTGCATCTTTTAATGCACAGAAGTGCCTCTTAGAAAACTTAGTATAATTACCAAAGCAAAATTATGATTTATGTTAATGATAATGCCTGCATTATATTCCTTAAAACAAATAGTTTTCCCCAAGTTTAAATTCTCAAAGTAATCTGACATGCCTCCAATATTTGTGAGCTTCTTAAAAGCTGTGTTAGAGAAACAGCTTGTTAAAAATCCATATGAACATTAAAATAATAGAGTACAAAAGTAGGTATTTGTCAATGTGATAGCTTCAGGTTATGATCCAAAGAGCCACGGGGCCATTTCTTTAAGGTCCCTTCCAACTCAAACCTTTGTCTGAAAATGTAAAACTTGCTAGGTGGCAGCTAAGCACCATTCCATTCAGGACAAACCTCAATAAGACTGAGGTTCTCAGTGCCGTTTTTAAAGAAATGTTGGTGAACTTGGAGCTTTTTAAGGAGTTGAGATATCAATACTCAAGCTCTTACATGGATTACAAGACATTTTCTTCCAAAGACATACTTCAGGATTTCTTATTTGTGGTTTTTGGCGTTGGTGGGGTTTTTTTGCTAGATAGCTTGCTTCTTTAAAATGAACAGTATCATTTGGATAGCCCTTAGGGAAAAGGCTTAATGAATACCTGCAGTAAACCTTCTGAAGAGCTCAATAAAAATACAGTCAGTTCTTTGTAAGACTTCTGGTTTTCATTTTCAAGTTAATTTTACCAGGTAAAACTTTAAATGAGTGGAAATCAGTCTGGCTTATTGGTATGCAGTGTCTTACCTGAGAACATGGGAATAAATACAAACAGGGCTTAAATTCTCCTGAAGGTGTACATGGTGAGTCCTCCTTGGATGGGTTTTCCTACTGCAGCCTGAATGCAGAGGGTTGCATAAATGGAAGAAGGTGTGTATGAAATCTCTAGAACACCCTCGGGGGAAAAAAAGCCTCCAAATACTTTTCAGAACTACCAGATGGGAAGGGGTGCCACTGGATGTCATGAAATCAGCAGGGGCAATGACTAAAAATTTGTCTTTCCAAGGAAGCGCTGGCATGTAGCAATGGTGTGTCCTATATAAAACATTTATTTCATCATGACCTTGCTCAGATTTATTACCAAGAACCACCAATAAAGAATCTATCACATTCCTGTAGTAGTGGACCTGTTGGAACGTGTCCAGAGGAGAACCATGAAGATGTTCAGAGGGTTGGAGCACCTCTGCTATGGAGATAGGCTGGGAGAGGAGGAGGTGTTCAGCTTAGAGAAGGCTCCAGGGAGACCTTGGAGCACCTTCCACTACCTAAAGGGTCTCCAAGAGAGCTGGAGAGGGACTTTTGACAAGGCCATGGCATGCTAGGACAAGGGGGAATGGCTTTCAACTGAAAGGGAGTAGGTTCAGATTACATACAGGGGAATAAATTCTTTACTGTGAGGGTGGTGAGGCACTGATAGGGGACCAGAGAAGCTGTGGATGCCCCATCCCTGGAAGGGATCCTGTTCAAGGCCAGGCTGGATGGGGCTCTGAGCATCCTGCTCTAGGAGAAGGTGTCCCTGCTCACGACGGGGGAGTTGTAGGTGGATGATCTTCAGTGCCCCTTCCAACCCAATCCGTTCTGTGATTTTGTGAAAGTAGCTAGCCTGCAGCTAAGTACCATTCCAGCCAGGATAACCTCAGTAAGACTAAAGTTCAGAGTGCCTTTCTTGAGAAATGTTTGTTGACTTTGAGCTATTTAAGGAATTGAGATATAAATATTCAAGCAAGTTATCTTTAATGTCCTTTTCAAGCCAAACTGCTCTATGATTCCATTAATGGTATGAAATGTGGGACACATTCCTGTAGTGTGTACACTGTGGTGGCCACCAAGCCCTCACTACGTCTAGGAGAAAAACTGTCCCAAAACGAACCCTTGGCTATTGCGTGAGGTAACGCCGTGATGCGGGAGCTGGGTTTTCCCTGCATTTGCGAGCGGAGTGGGCCGGGCGATGCAGCCGGAGGGAGATGCTGTGAGGGCAGTGGTGCCCTCGGTGTGAGGGAAGCTGCGCCGGTGCCCTCACAGGGGCGCAGGACGCTTTTCTCCGGTCCCGTCAGACCGACCGGCAACGCCGCAGGAACCTCGCCGTCCCGGGCTCTCCCGGCCGCGCCTGCGCTCCCCGCGGGAGGACGGGCCGCGCCTGCGCTGCCCCCGCAGCCGGGCCGGGCCGGGCCGGGACCGTGTTGGGCCGGGC